TGACAGTAGGAAGGTACTATAGTGACAGTAGGAATGTACTATAGTGACAGTAGGAAGGTACCATAGTGACAGTAGGAAGGTACCATAGTGACAGTAGGAATGTACTATAGTGACAGTAGGAAGGTACCATAGTGACAGTAGGAAGGTACCATAGTGACACTAGGAATGTACTATAGTGAGAGTAGGAAGGTACCATAGTGACAGTAGGAAGGTACCATAGTGACAGTAAGAAGGTACCATATTGACTGTAGGAAGGTACTTTGGTGACAGTAGGAAGGAACCATAGTGACAGTAAGAAGGTACCATAGTGAGAGTAGGAAGGGACCATAGTGACAGTAGGGAGGTACCATAGTGACAATAGGAATGTACCATAGCGACAATAGGAAGGTACCATACTGACAGTAGGAAGGTGCCATAGTGACAGTAGTAAGGTACCATATTGACAATAGGAAGGTACTATAGTGACGGTCGGAAAGTACCATAGTGACAGAAGGAAGGTACCATAGGGGGGGTAGGAATGTACTATAGTGACAGTAGGAAAGTACCATAGTGACAGTAGGAAGGTACCATAGTCAAAGTAGGAAGGTACCATATTGACAGTAGAAAGGTACCATAGTGACAGTAGGAAGGTACCATAGTGACAGTAGGAAGGTGCCATAGTGACAGTAGGAATGTACTATAGTGACAGTAGGAAAGTACCATAGTGACAGTAGGAAGGTACTATAGTGACAGTAGGAAGGTTCTATAGTGACAGTAGGAAGATACCACAGTGACAGTAGGAATGTACCATAGTGACAGTAGGAAAGTAACATAGTGACAGTAGGAAGGGGCCATAGTGACAGTAGGAATGTACCATAGTGACAGTAAGAAGGTACCATAATGACAGTAGGAATGTACCATAGTGACAGTAGGAATGTACTAGAGTGACAGTAGGAAAGTACTATAGTGACAGTAGGAAGGTTCTATAGTGACAGTAGGAAGATACAATAGTGACAGTAGGAATGTACTAGAGTGACAGTAGGAAAGTACCATAGTGACAGTAGGAAGGTACCATATTGACTGTAGGAAGGTACTTTGGTGACAGTAGGAAGGTACCATAGTGACAGTAGGAAGGTACCATAGTGACAGTAGGAATGTACTATAGTGACAGTAGGAAGGTACCATAGTGACAGTAGGAATGCACTATAGTGACAGTAGGAAGGTACCATATTGGCAGTAGGAAGGTACCATAGTGACAGTAGGAAGGTACCATAGTGACAGTAGGAAGGTACCATAGTGACAGTAGGAAGGTACCATAGTGACAGTAGGAAGGTACCATAGTGACAGTAGGAAGGTACCATAGTGACAGTAGGAAGGTACCATAGTGACAGTAGGAAGGTACCATAGTGACAGTAGGAAGGTACCATAGTGACAGTAGGAAGGTACCATAGTGACAGTAGGAAGGTACCATAGTGACAGTAGGAAGGTACCATAGTGACAGTAGGAAGGTACCATAGTGACAGTAGGAAGGTACCATAGTGACAGTAGGAAGGTACCATAGTGACAGTAGGAAGGTACCATAGTGACAGTAGGAAGGTACCATAGTGACAGTAGGAAGGTACCATAGTGACAGTAGGAAGGTACCATAGTGACAGTAGGAAGGTACCATAGTGACAGTAGGAAGGTACCATAGTGACAGTAGGAAGGTACCATAGTGACAGTAGGAAGGTACCATAGTGACAGTAGGAAGGTACCATAGTGACAGTAGGAAGGTACCATAGTGACAGTAGGAAGGTACCATAGTGACAGTAGGAAGGTACCATAGTGACAGTAGGAAGGTACCATAGTGACAGTAGGAAGGTACCATAGTGACAGTAGGAAGGTACCATAGTGACAGTAGGAAGGTACCATAGTGACAGTAGGAAGGTACCATAGTGACAGTAGGAAGGTACCATAGTGACAGTAGGAAGGTACCATAGTGACAGTAGGAAGGTACCATAGTGACAGTAGGAAGGTACCATAGTGACAGTAGGAAGGTACCATAGTGACAGTAGGAAGGTACCATAGTGACAGTAGGAAGGTACCATAGTGACAGTAGGAAGGTACCATAGTGACAGTAGGAAGGTACCATAGTGACAGTAGGAAGGTACCATAGTGACAGTAGGAAGGTACCATAGTGACAGTAGGAAGGTACCATAGTGACAGTAGGAAGGTACCATAGTGACAGTAGGAAGGTACCATAGTGACAGTAGGAAGGTACCATAGTGACAGTAGGAAGGTACCATAGTGACAGTAGGAAGGTACCATAGTGACAGTAGGAAGGTACCATAGTGACAGTAGGAAGGTACCATAGTGACAGTAGGAAGGTACCATAGTGACAGTAGGAAGGTACCATAGTGACAGTAGGAAGGTACCATAGTGACAGTAGGAAGGTACCATAGTGACAGTAGGAAGGTACCATAGTGACAGTAGGAAGGTACCATATTGACAGTAGGAAGGTACCATAGTGACAGTAGGAAGGTAGCATATTGACAGTAGGAAGGTACTATAGTGACAGTAGGAATGTACCATATTGACAGTAGGAAGGTACCATAGTGACAGTAGGAAGGTACCATAGTGACAGTAGGAAGGTACCATAGTGACAGTAGGAAGGTACCATAGTGACAGTAGGAAGGTACCATAGTGACAGTAGGAAGGTACCATAGTGACAGTAGGAAGGTACCATAGTGACAGTAGGAAGGTACCATAGTGACAGTAGGAAGGTACCATAGTGACAGTAGGAAGGTACCATAGTGACAGTAGGAAGGTACCATAGTGACAGTAGGAAGGTACCATAGTGACAGTAGGAAGGTACCATAGTGACAGTAGGAAGGTACCATAGTGACAGTAGGAAGGTACCATACTGACAGTAGGAAGGTACTATAGTCACAGAAGGAAGGTACCATATTGACAGTAGGAAGGTACTATAGTGACAGTAGGAAGGTACCATATTGACAGTAGGAAGGTACCATAGTGATAGTAGGAAGGTACCATAGTGACAGTAGGAAGGTACTGTAGTGACAGTAGGAAGGTACCATAATGACAGTTAGAAGGTACCATAGTGACAGCAGGAAGGTACTGTAACGAGAACCGACCGGGATTGATTAAATACTGGTTTCCTAGAACATAAAGCAAAACACGGTTCAAACAGTTGATACAATGTATTTACAATGCATAATTAGTACATAATATACAATATTCATCACACAAAATCAGAATGGCTCTCTCTCTCTCTCTCACTATCAACTCGCTAACGAATGACATGTAATATGTACCCAAATATATAACTAACTAATAATACAAAATGTCATATCAACACCCTAAAGTCTCTGTAGCTTGTTGGACACTGTTGTGTCGTCTCCAATGTTGAAGCCGCCGTCCTCCCTTAGACTTGTCCAATCTCAGTGAAGTCCCCTCCAAGCTCAAAAACACAAATAGAACGTAGCGGGTCACACAGATCCAGCCGGTACAGGTCACACAGACCAGTGAAACATAAACAGGTCACTCAGACCAGTCAACTGCAGGTCACACAGACCAGTCAACACTCAGTCACACAGACTAGTTGGACACAGGTCACACAGACCAGTCAATGTACGGGTATAAAGTGTTACCCTCTCCATGGCCACACAGGTTCAGGTAAGTATATACAGTAATATGTCACACAGACCAGCCAAAGACAAGGGTATTAGGTTTTACCCTTTCCATGACCACACAAGTACAGGAAGGTATATATGTAGGTGAAGGGTTTCTCTGGGAACGTTCAGTATCACGTCATCGGGATCCGATAGTTGTGGAGTACCAAAATGACCATCTGTATTTGGCCTTCCGTTACACGAACGTCGACGGCCCAAGGACGAAAAGCTACAATATACGTATGCCTTAATTAAATAGCTATTATACACGTAACGATAGTATTATACTGGTATACTATTTAATTACAATTATTGATTAAGACCATATAATCTATATCTGAACTGGTCCCATATAGTATTTAAACAGTAATGCTAGCACTAAACATTTGATTATGCTGAACAAAGCTAACAGTGCTATTGTTCACGCTTTACCTGGTCCCATATACACGCATATATACACACCCCGTGCGCTCACAGTACCGGGTACGCATACATTCATACCAGGTAAAATACACCTTTATACAGCACTTATCAGGACCAACGCCTGTATATGAATCAATACATTTGCTATAATAAATCTGATAAAACTTAAACAAGTTTAAACTTACCGCAGGCAGCTATTTGCGCTCCAACAATCACTACACGGTCCGCATCCGTAATGTCCGCCCTTCTCTCCTGTAGTACACTTATTAGCGCTTGCGTAACTTACCTGTTAAAGTTACCTGGCTGGAAATCGCGCGATATTCAAACACTGATATTTACAATTTATATACACCCTGTCAAAATGGCATGTGACAGGTACCATAGTGACAGTAGGAAGGTACCATAGTCACAGTAGGAAGGTACTATAGAGGTACCATATTGGCAGTAGGAAGGTACCATAGTGACAGTAGGAAGGTAACATAATGACAGTAGGAAGGTACTATAGTGACAGTAGGAAGGTACAATTGTGACAGTAGGAATGTACCATAGTGACAGTAAGAAGGTACCATAATGACAGTAGGAAGGTACTATAGTGACAGTAGGAAGGTACCATAGTGACAGGAGGAAGGTACCATAATGACAGCAGGAAGGTACCATAATGACAGTAGGAAGGTACCATAGTCACAGTAGGAAGGTACCATAGTGACAGTAGGAAGGTACCATAATGACAGTAGGAAGGTACTATAGTGACATTAGGAAGGTACCATAGGGACAGTAGGAAGGTACCATAGTGACAATAGGAAGGTACCAGAGTGACAGTAGGAAGGTACCAGAGTGACAGTAAGAAGGTACCATAGTGACAGTAGGAAGGTACCATAATGATAGTAGGAAGGTCCCATAGTGACAGTAGGAAGGTACCATAATGACAGTGAAAGGTACCATAATGACAGTAGGAAGGTACCATAGTGACAGTAGGAGGAAGGTACTATAGTCACAGTAGGAAGGTACCATATTGACAGTAGGAAGGTACCATTGTGACAGTAGGAAGGTACCATAGTGCCAGTAGGAAGGTACCATAATGACAGTAGGAAGGGACCATAGTGACAGTAGGAAGGTACCATAGTGACAGAAGGAAGGTACCATAGTGACAGTAGGAAGGTATTATAGTGACAGTAGGAAGGTACCATAATGACAGTGAAAGGGACCATAATGACAGTAGGAAGGTACCATAGTGACAGTAGGAATGTACTATAGTGACAGTAGGAAGGTACCATAGTGACAGTAGGAATGTACCATAGTGACAGTAGGAATGTACCATAGTGACAGTAGGAGGGTACCATAATGACAGTAGGAAGGTCCCATAGTGACAGTAGGAATGTGCCATAATGACAGTAGGAAGGTACCATAATGACAGTAGAAAGGTTCCATAGTCACAGTAGGAAGGTACCATTGTGACAGTAGGAAGGGACCATAGTGACAGTAGGAAGGTACCATAGTGACAATAGGAAGGTACCAGAGTGACAGTAGGAAGGTACCAGAGTGACAGTAAGAAGGTACCATAGTGACAGTAGGAAGGTACCATATTGACAGTAGGAAGGTACCATTGTGACAGTAGGAAGGTACCATAGTGCCAGTAGGAAGGTACCATAATGACAGTAGGAAGGGACCATAGTGACAGTAGGAAGGTACCATAGTGACAGAAGGAAGGTACCATAGTGACAGTAGGAAGGTATTATAGTGACAGTAGGAAGGTACCATAATGACAGTAGAAAGGTTCCATAGTCACAGTAGGAAGGTACCATTGTGACAGTAGGAAGGGACCATAGTGACAGTAGGAAGGTACCATAGTGACAATAGAAGGTACCGTAGTCACAATTGACTGATGCCATAGAAACAGTAGGATGGTCCCATAGTCACAATTGACTGATGCGATAGTGACAGTAGGATGGTCCCATGGTCACAATTGACTGATGCCATAGTGACAGTAGGATGGGTAGGAAGGTACTATAGTCACAGTAGGAAGGTACCATATTGACAGTAGGAAGGTACCATTGTGACAGTAGGAAGGGACCATAGTGACAGTAGGAAGGTACCATAGTGACAATAGAAGGTACCGTAGTCACAATTGACTGATGCCATAGAAACAGTAGGATGGTCCCATAGTCACAATTGACTGATGCGATAGTGACAGTAGGATGGTCCCATGGTCACAATTGACTGATGCCATAGTGACAGTAGGATGGGTAGGAAGGTACTATAGTCACAGTAGGAAGGTACCATATTGACAGTAGGAAGGTACCATAATGACAGTAGGAAGGTCCCATAGTGACAGTAGGAAGGTACCATAATGACAGTGAAAGGTACCATAATGACAGTAGGAAGGTACCATAGTGACAGTAGGAGGGTACCATAATGACAGTAGGAAGGTACCATAATGACAGTAGAAAGGTACCATAGTCACAGTAGGAAGGTACCATTGTGACAGTAGGAAGGTACCATAGTGACAGTAGGAAGGTACTATAATGGCAGTAGGAAGGTACCATAGTCACAGTAGGAAGGTACCATAGTCACAGTAGGAAGGTACTATAGTGACATTAGAAAGGTACCATAGTAACAGTAGGAAGGTACCAAAGTGACAGTAGGAAGGTACCATAGTGACAGTAGGAAGGTACCATAGTGACAGTAGAAGGTACCGTAGTCATAATTGACTGACGCCAGTGACAGTAGGATGGTCCCATGGTCACAATCGACTGATGCCATAGAAACAGTAGGATGGTCCCATGGTCACAATTGACTGATGCCATAGTGACAGTAGGATGGTCCCATGATCACAATTGACTGATGCCATAGAAACAGTAGGATGGTGCCATGGTCCCATTTAACTGTTGCCCTAGTTATGATAAGAAGGTACCACAGTCTCAATAGACCGGTGCTTTAGTGACAGTGAGATAGAACGATAGTCACAATACTATGGTGCTATAGTGACCGTGATATAGAACGATAGTCACAATACAGGTACCATAGTGACAATAGAAGGTACCGTAGTCACAATTGACTGATGCGATAGTGACAGTGAGATTTTAACAGTCACAATAGACTGGTGCTATAGTGACAGGGAGATAGTACAATAGTCAGAATACAGTGGTGATATAGTGACAGGGAGATAGTACAATAGTCAGAATACAGTGGTGATATATGACAGGGAGATAGTACAATAGTCAGAATACAGTGGTGATAGATGACAGTGAGATAGCACGATAGTCACAATAGACCGGTACGATAATGACATTGGGATACTACTATAGTCACAATACAGCCCTGCTATAGTGACAGGGAGATAGTACAATAGTCAGAATACAGTGGTGATAGATGACAGTGAGATAGCACGATAGTCACAATACAATGGTGCTATAGTGACAGTGAGATAGTACAATAGTCACAATACAGTGGTGATATATGACAGTGAGATAGTACGATAGTCACAATACAGTGGTGCTCTAGTGACAGTGGGATAGTACGATAGTCACAATACAGTGGTGCTATAGTGACAGTGAGGTAGTACAATAGTCACAATACAATGGTGCTATATGACAGTGAGATAGTACGATAGTCACATTACAGTGTTGATTTAGTGACAGTGAGATAGTACGATAGTCACAATACAGTGGTGCTATAGTGACAGTGAGATAGTACGATAGTCACAATATGGTGACGATGGTACAGCGGTCACACTAGACTGGTGCTATAGTGACAGTGAGATGGTGCCATTGAATTCAAAAGACTGGTACTATAGCTACAGTACGATGGTACCGCGGTCACAATAGACTGGTGCTATAGTGACAGTTAGATGGTGCCATTGAATTCAAAAGACTGTTACTATAGCTACAGTACGATGGTATCGCGGTCACAATAGACTGATAGTGACAGTGAGATGGCACCATGGCAACAACAGACTGATAGCATAGTGCCAGTAGGATTGTGTCATAGTGACAGTAGGCTTATACTAGAGTCATACTTTATCAAGTTTTAAGTATTTTATTTTAACACCAGTAGAAAAGATCATTATCACTGCCAGCTTTATTTAACTACTTTGTAGCTTTTGTGACAATGGAAGAAAAATGTTGATCGCCATTGTCAACTTTCATAGTGTAATGGCAACAACTGGTGTCGCACTGGTAAAGGGTTTGTATCACTAAAATAATAAAGTCAATTTTTTTATCATTTCAACTTAATAATTTAGATATATTGGTGCGTCTGTTTCGGCAGGATTGGCCTGATTACTCAGACTGCGCATTAAACATATATGTAGCCATAACTGTATTAACATCAAAAGTAAAACGAATTTCAATATGAATTACAAACATGGAACAAATAATATGATTCATTATTGAAAGAGATATACTGAGGTATATGAATGAGTGGTTAATTGCTGTAATAAATTTGTAATTAAATTACTATTTTTAAGATTGAAGAAAGAAATCAACCATGGAAAAAACACACAAATAAAAGTTATAGATGATAAATGTATATATATATATCATTACATACATTGTAAAAGAAAAAAGGAAACAAAAAAGGAAAGACGATGAAATTGCTGAGTGGCGAGCACTTAACATGTAAATAAGAATTATATGTATTGATATACTCACGTACACACTTTTCTAAATATTCTTAAAGATACGGGATATTAACTATGTAAAATTGTTCTTAAGCTACGTATGAGTCAACCATATAATAGTCAAAATAATTCAATACTGAGTACTAAACATGATCAGGAAAAAATAGCATTGTCTTTGTCAGCCAATTTTATCGTACTACTACTACTAATCTTGTGTCACGTTGAGAGAAAACAGTTGTAGTTGGCCATCATTGTCAACGTGTACACAGGAGTGATAGCAAACAAAATGTCGCAACGATAAAGGACTGGTATGAAAGTTAAAATTATTCTCATCAAGCCTCCCTTTGTATAGTACGGCCATTTTGATTGATTTCGAGTGTTGTTTTTTCTGCTGACAATACATTGGATTTGGTAATGATATCTATATCAGATCATTCCCTAGGGCAGCATGACAGGTACGTTTTAACTTACTGGGATTGATAATCAACCATGTTGCTACAGAAAACATACAAATAAAAGATTTGATGTCGACATTATCCTATACAGAATCTAATCTTCTGACAATAAGTATTAACTTATGCTAGCCTTACTTTTTCAGGACTTATCTATACCCAGATGATCCATCAATTGTCTGCCCTTTTCCAACAAAGACTCGCTGCTTTGGAATATATTCCAGCTTCTTTTCAACTAGCACAAGCGCGCGGAATGTTGTGTGAGTCATAACGTAAGATAATAAGTTTAATTTATGAAAAGTTAAAACTTATCAAATTATATTTACGATTATCTTTTAGTTGACGTAGAAATTGAAAGTGTACGCTAAAGGAGTATACCAGTCATGCACGAATTGTAAAGAAGGACACATTTGAATGACCATTGCATAAAAAACAAGATGTAATGGATTTGATAAATTAATGAATAATGGAAAAATCGAATAAATGCATTTTTATTCAATATAACAAAATTAATTATATGTTAATTTGTACAGACAACATCACTGAAGCAGAACCGCTAGCTGAAGCTGGACCTGTCAACTATCGACGACAAGAACTCGATCGGACGGTTGACTACCTGCAAGATCATCATATCCTCAGTTTTGACGAATCAGCAGGTCGATACAACATACACGGAATACTTAAAGATTGCATCCGGGTATCTAACATCATATGTGATAAGCGAAGTATGTATGAGTACGTGTTTTGATATTCCCTTATTTCTGAAATTTACTGATCTCATGCTTGTTCCAAACTGTATAACAAACACTAGAAATATGAAGTCAGGAAGTCCCTATTTTAATCAGTTAGTACTGGAATATACAGAAATTTCAAAGAAGAAAATATTTTTGCAGTATCATATATGGCCATTTCGTCTATTAGGGAATCATTGCTGAAACTAGGGGTTGAAAAAAAGGAAAATTTTCGTCTGAAGTGTTACGAAATATATGCAGAAAAAGACATGACATAAGGGGGAAAGTTCCGTTAAATCCCTTTGCTACATTACAACTTGCAACTGATGTATACGATACAGGTACAATCCTGCAACAACAAATCTGTATTTTATTTTTATCATTTCTTGTTTTATATGTAACAGAAGTAAGAGATCGCTATTGCCGTGTGTTTGCCAACGTCCTAAAAAGCATAAGCTCCAAACTGGACACAGTAGAGTACACACAAGCGCTTGAACAGCTCAGCCATGAGTTTCCAAACCTACAGAAGCTTCTCAGTGACGTAGAGTACAGTAATGGCGACACGTACCACGTGTTTGTGGATCTCGTGGCTTCGTCTACCCAACTTCTCCACAACTATATGGGAGGTATATTTATATAAAGTCCTCTGTATTCGTTGTGACCGTTACTGATGGCAATGGTGACTCGGTGGATAGCTCACTCGCTTTCCACCAAGACGACCGGGGTTCGATTCTCCGAACGGAACCGAAACGTGTATGGGTCACCTGCCCGACTACGTTGGTTTCCTCCGCGTACTCTGGTTTCCTCCGCCATAAAGCTCCCCTGTGCTTTACCATCCGGGCCAACAAGAGAGATAACTTAAGTTTATATAACGCGTTTCACGTTATTGTAAAATATTTATTTATAATCAATGTCTTCAATATCATTACTGTAGACACTAAAAACTGTAAACGGGAATGACAGAGACTGACGTTTACCATTAGACTGTAAACACTAAAAACTGTAAACGGGAATGACAGAGACTGGCGTTTACCATTGAACTGTAAACACTAAAAACTGTAAACGGGAATGACAGAGACTGACGTTTACCATTGAAATTCATGTTCACTTTGTACGGATTATGGACGCCAATGATTTAACAAGCCATCAATGTGTATACGTTATACTCCTAGGACACAAAAGTCATTTCTCCTATCCGTTAACATTAGCACCAGTTGTATATCCGTTAACATTAGTACCAGTTGTATATCCGTTAACATTAGTACCAGTTGTATATCCGTTAACATTAGCACCAGTTGTATATCCGTTAACATAAGTACTAGTTGTATATCCGTTATCATTAGCACCAGTTGTATATCCGTTAACATAAGTACCAGTTTTATATCCGTTATCATTAGCACCAGTTGTATATACGTTAACATTAGTACCAGTTGTATATCCGTTAACATTAGCACCAGTTGTATATCCGTTAACATTAGTACCAGTTGTATATCCGTTAACATTAGTACCAGTTGTATATCCGTTATCATTAGTACCAGTTGTATATCAGTTAACATTAGTACCAGTTGTGTATCCGTTAACATTAGTATCCGTTAACATAAGCACCAGTTGTATATCCGTTAACATTAGCACCAGTTGTATATCCGTTAACATTAGTACCACTCGTATATCCACTAACATTAGTACCAGTTGTATATCCGTTAACATTAATACCAGTTATATATCCGTTTACATTAGCACCAGTTGTATATCCGTTAACATTACTACCAGATGTATGTCTGTTAACATTAGTACCAGTTGTATATCCATTAACATTAGTACCAGTTGTATATCCGGTAGCAATAGCACCAGTTGTATATCCGGTAACAATAGCACCAGTTGTATATCCGTTAACATTATCACCAGTTGTATATCCGTTTACATTAGCACCAGTTATATATCCGTTAACATTAGCACCAGTTATATATCCGTTAACATTAGTACTAGTTGTATATCCGTCAACATTAGTACCAGTTGTATATCCGTCAACAGTAGTACCAGTTGTATATCCCTTAACATTAGTTCCAGTTGTATATCCGTTAACATTAGCACGAGTTGTATATACGTTAACATTATCACCAGTTGTATATCCGTTTACATTAGCACCAGTTATATATCCGTTAACATTAGTACCAGATGTATATCCGTTAACATTAGTACTAGTTGTATATCCGTCAACATTAGTACCAGTTGTATATCAGTTAACATTAGCACCAGTTGTATATACGTTAACATTATCACCAGTTGTTAGTACCAGTTGTATATCCGTTAACATTAGTACCACTCGTATATCCACTAACATTAGTTCCAGTTGTATATCCGTTAACATTAGAACCAGTTGTATATCCGTTAACATTAACACCAGTTGTATATCCGTTAACATAAATACCAGTTATATATCCGTTTACATTAGCACCAGTTGTATATCCGTTAACATTCGTACCAGTTTTATATCCGTTAACATTAGCACCAGTTATATATCCGTTAACATTAGTACCAGATGTATATCAGTTAACATTAGTACCAGTTGTATATACGTCAACATTAGTACCAGTTGTATATCCGGTAGCAATAGCACCAGTTGTATATCCGGTAACAATAGCACTAGTTGTATATCCGTTAACATTAGTACCACTAGTATATCCACTAACATTAGTACCAGTTGTATATCCGTTAACATTAACACCAGTTGTATATCCGTTAACATAAGTACCAGTTGTATATCCGTTAACATTAACACCAGTTGTATATCCGTTAACATAAATACCAGTTATATATCCGTTTACATTAGCACCAGTTGTATATCAGTTAACATTAGCACCAGTTGTATATACGTTACCATTATCACCAGTTGTATATCCGTTAACATTATCACCAGTTGTATATCCGTTAACATTAGTACCAGATGTATATCCGTTAACATTAGTACCAGTTGTATATCCGTCAACATTAGTACCAGTTGTATATCCCTTAACATTAGCACCAGTTGTATATCCGTTAACATTAGCACCAGTTGTATATACGTTAACATTAGCACCAGTTGTATATCCGTTAAAATTAACACTAGTTGTATATCCGTTAACATTAGTACCAGTTGTGTATCTGTTTACATTAGCACCAGTTGTATATCCGTTAACATTAACACCAGTTGTATATCCGTTAACATAAGTACCAGTCGTATATCCGTTAACATTAGCACCAGTTGTATATCCGTTAACATTAGTACCAGTCGTATATCCGTTAACATTAGCACCAGTTGTATATCCGTTAACATTAGTACCAGTCGTATATCCGTTAACATTAGTACCAGTTGTATATCCGTTATCACTAGTACCAGTTGTATATCCGTTAACATTAGCACCAGTTGTATATCCGTTAACATTAGTACCAGTTGTATATCCGTTAACATTAGCACCAGTTGTATATCCGTTAACATTAGTACCAGTTGTATACAAAAGAGCAAGAGAATACTCAAGTTTCCTTCAAAATCAAAATCGTTAAAACTAAGTTGAACAAAGTAAAACCAAATATCCTTGAAAAACGTACTAAGAGAACAAGCCCAGATGTTTCGGAAGGGTAAGCATCGTTTGCTTCATAGACGACATCCGCCATGTAAATCTAGGTCAAATCCAAGTAATGTCACGACCTCGTAGCCGAAATAAAGTATTGACAAAAAATCAAAAAGACACATTCATGAGGATATATAAAAACATTGATTTTCATATTACACAATTTATTTTAGAATATTTCATTAAGAGATAATGAGGACAACCATAAACTTGTCCATGGCCTTAACCAACCTGCATCGTTGGAACCTAGGTTATATCAAAGAAGTCATTATGATACCCGTAGCAAGCTATTAGATCATTAATTCATTATGACATGTTAACACAGTAGTTTATAGAAACATGCATGTTACCATCAAGAAAGGGAAGTTGACGATTTAAAAGGCGACATCGTTTTGATTAACGTAAAGCTTACTGTTCAGCCATTTCTTCTGCTTATGCTGTAAGTAAAGATTCAGGAAAGTAGCTGAAGCAGAATATTCTTGCAGTGCCCTTGATTTAAGTTCAGGAGGGTATGTCTTGCTGTTAAAAGACATCGCATCGTCGATATATCTGTATGTAAAATTTAAGGCTGCTACCAGTCCTGTGAGGCACATCAATAAATTCAGCCTCATATGATAAAAAATACAAGTCGGCCATAAGAGAGGCACAGTTTATTCCCATAGAAATGTCTACAGTCTTCTTGACAATCTTGCCACAAAACTCAACAAACATATTGTCACCCAGGAACTCAACCATCCCACAATTTATCCTCAACATATTTTCGTTTGGTATTTGTTAGTGTTTTTGAGAGAAAAAATGGTCCAGTAAAGTCAATGTCATATATGTATATCGTCGTTCTTCGTTCTTGGGAACGAGAGCTGCACTTTGGTATGCGATTGTGTAAAGAGTCACAAAGTCAAAGGGTCTGATAGAAGGAACATTTCTTAAAAGAGAATGTTTAAGATTGATAAAAAGAATGTTTTGAAATCTTCAAAATCCACATTCCATTAATTCCCCTCTGACGTATACCATTGTAACCCTGTTTAAGGGTACTAATTAAATGTCAGTCAGACGTTTGGATAATGGCTTGGTCGAGTACCTAAAACGAGAGTGGTAAACGTTAAGTATACGGACTCTTGAGCATGTTTGGAATCCAGTACAGACGAAGCAGGTCCGTATCCTTAGCATTGATGGGTTATTCGGAAATATTGTAATAAATAAATGTGATATGCTAGTATTTCGTCTTCGATAAATTTGAAATTATGTAGATCGGGTTTCCTTGCAAGCCAAGATCTAATGACAAAGCAATCAGGGTACTTAATAGTGTTTGCAGACAAATCGGAAGTTATTAGATGCCTTGTCAGTAGACACAACTACACACGTATCATGTAGACCTATGAGTGTGGTTTGCACATCGGGGTCAAGAAATGTTTATTTTTGTTTTCATTTTGGATTTCAATCAGCCAGTTCCTTTTTGAATATTGACACTATGGGGTTAACAGAAACAATGGCGCTCCAGCAGTGTTAATTTACGCTATAGATATTACAGAAACCTGTGTGCCTTCCTTTATTTTAAAGTTAAAACATCGGAATAACCGATACCAATGCTCTTTAGTAAATGTTAATAATTATGATATCAACTCCAAACCATGGTCCTCACTTTGAACGTTTATTTTTACTGTTCGGGTTTTATTCTGTGATCCTAGTTCGAAATATGTTATTTCATAATTGCAATAAAAATGAAGAACGAAAATGTTACTTTCTCAAACGAAATTGAAACTGATGTGAACATCGCAAATAGTATGCATAGGGAAGTGCTGTACCTTAATTGATGTCTACCATACTCCTCGGGATGATCCGCCAGTTTAACATATATAGAATGTATGTTTACCTGGTTATACTTAACTAGTACGTGTGCCTTTAATAACATGTATGTATCTTTCAGATGAGAGTGTCTCGTTTTACAGTAAATGCCTAGAGATAACGCCACAGTTCGGACGACCTGGGGACGAGGCTACACTGCGGTGTGGATACGGCAAAATGCTGACAGTTGAAAGGGTATATGTACATGTATTATTGCAATACTAAGAAATGTTTGGTGTTTTTTTCACATGCTCTGTAGCGTAAACATTCCAGGAAATTGTATTGATACATGAAATTTAGTTTTTTCATGATATTGGTCAAGATCTGTACACTAAAAAGCTAGCTTAGAATTAGTAATGTAAACCGCAAACTTAAGTTCGATGCAAATAATCATGTAAAAATGCAATTTATCAAGTATGCTACACTATTTTTGCAGATTATATTTCAAGTANTTGTTTTTTTCACATGCTCTGTAACGTAAACATTCCAGGAAGTTGTATTGATACATGAAATTTAGTTTTTTCATGATATTGGTCAAGATCTGTACAGTAAAAAGCTAGCTTAGAATTAGTAATGTAAACCGCAAACTAAAGTTCCATGCAAATAAACTTTATGAATTTTAATAGCATCATTAGTACAATACCGAGAGGCTGGAAGAGAATGATTAGAGATTATGGAAAAAATATTAATAATGTTGCACATGATAATTTAAAGAAATTGAAAAATATTGAAAAACCGTCTAAATATTTTTATAATAAAATCATGTCTACTGTATTGATTTATCCTCAACAATCCCATGAAAGGTGGCACACTATCTTAGATATTTCTCTGAACCAAGACGAATGGGGAAAAATTCACTCAAATCCCTTTTACGAGACAAAATTAAAAAATATATATCTTTAATGCGACAATACCACAAAATCCCTGACTGGGAAAGTTGTAAAATATTTATAAAAAATTATAGAAATTTAGACCTATATTCTGTCTACATGATGTCTCAAAATGCAGCGAACAAGACCCGGCAAAAATGGGAAAGTATCAAGCTTATTCTAGAATGAACTACTAGTACTAAACTCCTCGTTTATATTGTATTTCTTCTCCATGAACCTTTGTAAACATGTAATGCACTTATGTGACTGACGCAATAAACACATGTCAAAGACAAAAAAAAGTTCGATGCAAATAATCATGTAAAAATGCATTTATCAAGTATGCTACACTATTTTTGCAGATTATATTTCAAGTATTTTGTTTTAGATCTAGGCCATGTTTATGAACATCATAAAAAATGTGCAAATAGGAACAGTTCGTTCTCGTTACAACGTATGTTTTACTGTAGGCCAAGTTTAGTGAGGCGGAGAAGAACTACAGAACAAGTCTGGCACTGCTTGGTGATAGTCCCCTGTGTCCGACACACGTAACCATCTACTCATATCTGGGAGAAAACCTCAACCACCAGTCACGGAGATCTGAAGCGCTGGAGTAGGTTATAAGTCACGTGACTAATATGACATTAACAACAAGTATTAACGTCGAGCTGGAAATCAGCAATTCCTGTAAGCTTATTGTTAGTTGGCCTTGTGCAATCAATTGGTGTTAAATGCACATCCGATACATCTATGGAAACGTTGAATGATAATAATTACTATCATGAACCGTCCAGGTTTTTTTAAGGAGGAATCTTCATCACATTAATCACATTTTTTGTGAAAACGTACGAAGTATTAACAAAATATTAAAGTCCTTAGAAATGATTAGGTTGTATTGTCTTACACTGTTTGCGTAATGATCCAGACGGAAGTGATTGATCTCACTTCGTTTACATCCAAATCCTACTAATCTCTAATAAAAGTTTATGCATCCTGGTTTGTTCAAAAAAATATTATGGTTTGGCAATTCCTATTTCTTTAATACGAGAAAAAATTCAAGAACGATACAAGAAAAAAGGAAATGAGCTCAATTTAACATAATAGGACTCTAATGTTATCTGTCATATAAAACGTCTAAGTTGTCAAAGCCAACTGTCGTTTACATATATAAATAAACCTCTGCCAATGAGACGAATGCCATTGTGTTTTATCAGACTCCTACAGATGTCCCTAAGCATCGCTGACCAACTCGGCATGTATGACGAGGAACCCATCCTCATGACATTAATAAGCATTGGCAGGACATACGGAGAGTCAGGTAGTGTATTTCTACTCCTAGTCGTAAGGAGGGATGTCATTTTTTGAGATGAGAAATTCAATATATTAGAAATAGATGTTACATGTTTTCATATCCTATACATTTGACACACGAATTCTCAACAAGCAATATGATAAATCGAATTCGAAAACAATTTTCATTTTAATACAAAAACTCGATCTAGATATCATTGAACGTTTATTGTGTGTGCCTGGACACTTGTCTGGACTACCGGTATTCAGATATATAGCAAGACAGGTAGGTTCTCATCATGTGTCTGGAATACGTTGATAGCTTAACGGTCTAGGAAGACGTGTAGGTTGTTCAGTACTGGTAATAGAACTAGCGTAATCCTTCAATTCTACATTCAGATATATCACCGATGTTTAAAAATTGAATTCACCAAAACATTTTCCTGAGATTGAAATCAAGAATACAACAAGCTCATTCACTTCAGTCAATTTCCTCAATCTTTATTTACAACATGACTAATACAAACTTTCCCATCTTGGCCTTTCCCTTTCTTGGTGGCAACCTCCCTTCTTTCCCGACTTGCCGTGCTTACATTTGATTCGGTATTCAAGTGGGCCTTGTTCGTTGTTTTGTTGTCACTACATTGTTTGGGTATGACCTAGATGTACATGGCGCATGTCATTCAAGAAGCAGAAGACGCTTAACTTTCTATTTATCTGCATATTTTAGAATGCCCATCCTATTTTATTTAGTTTCCCCTTTTCGAGTGTTAACAAATTCTTCGTCTATCCTTACTCTTATTTCCTTATTTTTGTTCACTTAACTCGTCTCGTCATCCAAAGAAATCACAAATGAATCTAGTAAAAAAATCAGAATAAGCTTATATATTTATGATAATGAGGTTATCAAATAATGGGGTTAGGAAATAAGTATGTGAATATTGAATAGATGCTATCTGAGCCCAGTATAGAAGAAACCTATAAATACTTGCAAATATAACGTTGTGTGCTTTTCTTCCAGAACTCCGTGACGAAGGAGAGCGCTGCTTGAAGGAAGCACTAAGACGAAGCATCAACAGATTCGGGACAAAGAATAATAGAATAACCTCACAGTGCTATAACAGTTTAGGCTCTCTTAAACAAACGGGTCAAGACTACGATGCTGCATTGGAATATTTCTCGGAAGCACTTGACATAAGAACAACGATTAAGGAGGGAGTACATGCCACTGTGGCATCTCTCAACAACGTGGCACTACAGAAATCCGTGCATGGAGACAACAAAACAGCCATGGAGATGTTGTACCAGGCGGAATTAACGCTGGCCAGGACCCCGGGGGTTCACGAGTTAGGTCGTCTGGCAACTCTAGAAAACTTGGGTCGGATGAATCATCGTATTAGAAATTACAATACTGCCATTCCCTACTTCAATGAGGTTCTGACAATACGTGACGTAGAAACTCCCAGAAACGTAAACGTTATGGAAATGTTAGAACTACTGGCCGGGTCTTACGTGGTACAGGGGCGATACAGAGAGGCTGTAGCCATATGGGAGAGGTCAATAGATATAACACCAGTGGTTCAAATGGCGTTTCCCGGGTATCAGCTGCCTCTGTATTGTTATCTAAGTTATATGGAAGTATTGGTAAAGGTTGGTGAAGTTGATAAACTGAAGGAAATCAGAAAGGAAGCTAACAAAGAGTATGGACGACTCATTACCTTACATGAACAAAACAACAGAACGGACCTGGTGAACCGCTTTAGATCCAGATACCAAGCTACAAGAAAGAGCATAATAGACAGCACTGGTTTTGATATTGCGTTTAGGTGAGGTAAACATTCCAGGCTTAACCATAGAAGGGGGTCTATAGGACCTGTATTGTTCATATGTGTCTTTGGTTACCTGAACTAAACAAGAAGTGGAAATGTTTCCCCTCAATGTACCATGGTCTCCATTTAAGATTTCTTACTGACTCAAAGGAATAAAATAAATCTTGGTCAGGGCAAAGATATGGACATTTCTATGACGTTTGGTAAAAATTGATCAGGTGACATTGAGAATTAGTCGAATCAACCAACCAGAGGACATGATAGCTATTTTAGATTTCAAAAATAAACTATCAGGGCCTGGTCAAGACCTTGAGAACGTTTTATATTTCCATTTGCCTGATAAAATTAGAATATTCAAATAAGTTCCGGTCACGCAAAGGGCAGCACAGTCATTTTAAAAGATTTTGAATCAACCCCAATGATAACAGGTTATGACATGATCATTTGCACCAAGCATCGTAAGCATTCGTTTATCTGAACTAAAAAAGTTGAAAATGCTTTTACAATATTTTCATATTGAACCCTGCCCTTCTGCTCCTTTATAACACTGAAACCCCTTCAATAAGAAAAAAATCCTTGCAAAATGACGTACACACTTATTCACCCAAACTTTAAAGCACCTAATAACATTTATTATTGTGTTTCTGATGACGCTGCAGAGTAATATTGATGGTTTTCTTTGAAATGACGTTGCCGAATAGCATTGATAATGGGATTTGTTACTTAAGCCCAACAAGATTGAGGATTGTCTTTCAAATGACGTTTTTAGGAAATTTTGATGATCATTCTGATGACTAATAGAATATTCCCCGACCCTGAGGGTGCGATAGAGAAATCTCCAACCCGAGGGGTGATGAGGTAGGGGATGATTGTTTTTTCTCCCATCCTATTATTTCAGTCACAACTCCACCGACAGTAGCGTAAACAAAAATACATGTGGGATATGAATATCGTCATTCACTTTTGATTACGTCACAATTGAACACGTGCTAATCGGCACGAGGCTATCTCCCCCTAGGGGTGACAAGCTGATCTTTCCCGGCTAAAACGGGAGACACGCCTGTGAAGGGTGGGAGACACGCCTGTGAAGGGTGGGAGACACGCCTGTGAAGGGTGGGAGACACGCCTGTGAAGGGTGGGAGAAACGCCTGTGAAGGGTGGGAGACACGCCTGTTAAGGGTGGGAGAAAGACATGTGTATTCCCGTCTTTACTTGACAAATGGTTAATTAGTCTAGATCTACACTGGCAAATCACGCGCACCTGAACAAAAGAATCGCCTCATCAGTATAAGAGCATAACCACAATACAGTAGGATCACGTCATCAATTGTGTCGCTCATTTCACGCTCCATTGATGATTTTACGATGAATTAGAATCTCCATTACAATTTTGATGAAAAAAAACCTTTCACTTGAAAGTGAAGAAGTACCTATCTAAAATTCAGTTTGTCGATACAGGAAGCTAAACAAAATTAGATTTTACTACACCATATGGTTATTTCGTCATTTATGTGCTCTGCTCATCAGTGATACTAAAGGTCAAATTAAAGGAACCACGTCTTAAGTGTTTACATATAAACTTTATTCATTTTACAACAATTATGAAACAAGTTATTTCATTAGTTATTTTAAGTGTTTCTAGCATATGTAGAATACAGCGATAAGATAAATGTGCCTATGAAATCGTTTGTAACGTTACAAAATAACAGCTTTGGCTAAAACAGGTCATCTATCATTACACTTGTTTTTCATGTGAACCGTGCCGCGAGTAAAATCCAGATACGAAGTTACGGCCAACCTTGGGGTCTGAAAGACCACCAGCAGAGGAAACCGTCTCGTTACGTTTAACAACTACTAACCAATAAAGTCAGGAAGCACCTGTTAACATTTAGTTCGTCGATGCATAGAGCCAAAGAAAGTAAACATTTTACTGTACCATAGGCTACTACGTGCTCGTTAGTGTTACTCAGGTGTTTCAATGCACATGTAGAAAACAACAAAAAAGGAAATCTGTCTTTAACCCGTTTAAAACGTTAAAAATTTACAACTTTGGTTCTTTCATATTTATTGCTGATTAGTTTGATTAATAACTTTTGATATTAACACTATTCTTAATGTATTTATTGTACCGAAAGTGTTATTTTACATGTTTGTCGCAAGAAAAGCTCCCAAGGGCTAATCTTATATTTATACGACTTTTAATAAAGTTTTTTGTTTCTTGTATTTTTGTTTGAAACTAGCTTACATGTAAACTGCGCCCGACTAAAAAGCTACAATGTTACTGATAGTCCACCAGCAGACCCAAACACTTTGTTGCGTTAAATAATTACTAGAAATACAAAGTAATGATGCACTTATTAAAAAGTAGGGTTGTCGATGCAAAAAGCCAAACCAAGTTAACATTTTGCTGTACCATATGGACATTTTGTCCATTCAGGACGCATGAGTGGTAAAATAGTTTTTTTCAATTAGGAAATGGAGAAAAAATACAAATAATTATAGTATGATATAAGCAGAAAAAACTGTTATCAACCCTTTCTATGTCTACATTACACACGAGTTGTAAATTATATTGTGGATCTCCTTGCGACATTGCCCATTAAAAGTAATGCTTACTGTATCTATGGCTTTCCTGTGTTATATTTATAATTGTTGTTTGGTCTTTCTGATGACGTCGCAAAGTAGAATTGATGATGGCCTTTCTGATGACGTCGCAATGCAAAAGTGTTTTTCAACATTGCCGTGTAAAACTGATGACGGATTTCTGATGACGTTGGTAAGTGAGATGGAAGATCGTATTTCTAATAACGATGCCGATCAAAAAATATTTTTCCTGAAGTTAGCCTGGGTATAATGGTGATCATATTCCAATGAAGAGAAAAAGGTCGTCTTTTATAAAGATTACTTCCTTTGCCATAGATCGTTTGTGACCAAGATGTTCTCTTGTATTAGACGGTGAAGTCCTGACGAGTGCTACTTGTGCTGCATGACGCTTACTCTTTAGGAACGCCTGGTTTTGCCTTCGTTGTTAGTGGGGATAAATAACGTTTGGTTTGGTGCACCTTCGGTAGTACAATGATCCGTAACAACCTATGATTTATTTTAAATCAATAACGTAATGTTTGTTAATGTAAAAAGGTTTCCTGTAAGTCTAACCCGCGTACACTCTTTCTAGCATCGTTGTTTAGTTAAGAAAGTGTTATTATATATCATTATCGATTAAGCTGTCATGTGAATTAGGCGTTTAATGCCGATGATCTCGTAAATTGAAGGAATCGCCATTCTAATTCGTATATGATTAAACTACATTTGTTGACCTCGGAAACATTAAAAAAAGATACGGAATCACATCTACCTTTCGGGGTCACTCTTTTGTTGGTAATGCCACTAATAATCAATGTGATAACGTTCTAGGACAGTTGTGGTCACTGACGTAAATCGCTTTTAAGGATCCATGTGCAAATGTGGAATTTGTTGTCCGAATATCGTGGTTAAACTGACAAAAATAATAAAGCAAATGAATTGGAATGTATGTCACGTGGCATCTAATCGGAGTATCAATCTGTATTAGATAGCATCTGATTGGCACACCAATCTGTTTTGAGTCGCGTTTGCTCGGAGTGCAAATCTATGTTCGATGCTTTTGATTTGAAAAAAAAATTAAAAAAAATAGGGAATACGTTATTCTAAACAAAACGGTAATACCAACTCGAAATGTATACAACTTGGTAAAAAGACCACGCGTTCGGTAAAGGTAAGCGTCTTCTGCTTTATCGTAACTTTGTCCGTCAGCAGTCGACATCCAGCATCACAAACTCTTGAAAAGCGAACCAAATGCGTCACGTAAACGACGTCGTAGGTTGAGGAATTAATGAGGTTAATTAAGTATCAAGAAAAGTAAAGTTTAGGATTGAACTTACATCTTAGTATTAATTAAGCTGATCATATCTATTATATTACATGAATGTGTAATTGAAGATGTTTTCGTGTCTAGTTATATTTTATCGTGCAACAAAATGTCCCTGGTTACCTTTTAAGATATTCACTTTCAGATAACATTATATTGACAATAATCGATGTGATATCTTGAAATAATAAGAAACGTACGTGTATCGGCCGTTTATAGCCATTTTAACTTGAAATAAAGGACAATTAAGTTACCAACCGCTTTCCACATGACCAACAGAGTCAGCTTATCATTACTAAGATAAATATGATCTGGAATACGAAAATGTTGGGAAAACATTTTCCTCGAGCTAAATGAAGCGGCCTTCTTTCTGGCAACACTTCATTAAGCAATGTATGTTCCATCATAATACACGTCCA